CCTCCTTTATTTCAGACATATCATCTGTGCAGTCCAAGTGAATACCACACCCTGCCATCTCATCCTTTATCTCAGATATATAATCTGCGCAATCCAAGTGGATACACCACACCCTGCCATCTCATCCCATTCCACTGCACCCCACTCCCATCTCTGGCTTTCCGACCCTCAATGCTAGAACAGCTCCTTCCTCTTGTGTCCGAGGACTCCAATCTTCAACATGAAACGAAAGAAAATTTACACGTGCTTAATCTGCCACTTAGTGCCTGGAATTTGTGCCCCCTGTTATGCTTTAGTCTGGAGCTTGGCATCTACAGCTGCTTCCCATGGCCACTGGCTCTATGTCTTCACCATACGATGATCTTCCAAGTTCTCTTCAGACAACTCCATGTCATTTGTATTTGTATGGATGCTGATGTAGTATTCACGAATGCATCGGCCTCTTCAGATCTTATGTTTATTGTTTGTTTGTTTGTTTGAGGTGCTGGACATGGAATCCCAGGGCTCGCACATGCTGGACAAGCATGCTACCAGTGCGATGTATCAGAGACATATTTAATCCTTTGAACTCCTAGAATACATATTGTTCCTGGCACACATTGCTTCTATCTGTGGAAACTGTTACACACTGGGAACAACAAAGCAGAGATATTTGTCCAGTACAGGAGGAAATGAAAACAAGCTAGGGAGGTTTCTATGTCACCTGAAATCTACAAGCTGACTTATCTTTACATATAACTGCAGTCATGGGGCTGCAGAGACTGCCCAGCAGGTAAGGACACTTTCCACAAAACCTGATGACCTGAATCCTATCCCCAGAATTCATATGGTAGAAGAAGAGAATCAACTTAGTAGTTTTTTGACCGTCATAAGTACACGTGTATACACACACACACACACACACACACACACACACACACACGAGAGAGAGAGAGAGAGAGCGAGAGAGAGAGAAGTGAGAGAGAGAGAGGAAAGTTTAAAACCAACAAAAACATAATTGCATCATGAAAGACTGTTTCACACCAGCCCTGCACATGTTCAGTTTTCTTATTAAGCCCACATTCCACTTGATTAAATATATTAAAGAAAAAATGAGTCACTTTATGTTACCATTATTACTAATATTGCTAATTATTACTAATATTATGTTATTAGTTTTTAATTTACAAAAGAAATAGTAACACAAAAGATAGGCTCTTTTATTTAAAATTATCTGTTAAAATAACTTATTTAGAAATGGCTCTTAAATGTGGTCTTCGTTTGACCAATAATGTATTCTCACACACAAACACACACAATCTAATATAAATAAACCTTCAAAAAGAGAGGGAGCCTGGGTCTGATTGTGAGCACCACCCTGTGTCCAGCAACTCCAAAGTAGCAATGGTGTCTTCTCTCATCCCAGATGCCGGGAAAAATCACCATCCACAGTTAACACACTCCCAAAAGGACATGCAGCCACTCTTGTGGCATTCTCTCCAAAAAACACCCATCTGAAAACAAACATAAACTGGGGATTATCTGAAAAGGACAGCAGTTCCGTGTCCCTTCCCACGGCAGCGTCATGAAGAGGGCAGTGTTGGGTGAAAGGGCACCGGCAACACATAACGACACATGGCACAGCACCATTGGATTCTTTCTTCTCTAAAGGCCATATCTACAGCAAGCAGAAACTCCGGAGGAAGTCTGAAGATTACATGATTGTACTGCTAATCATTTTCTGACTTTGATAATTCTAGTATGATAATGTTAAGTAATGTGTTTGCCTTTGAAGAACACAGTGAAGGGTTAACAGGGAAAGGCACTTTACAGCTACAGCTTGCTAACAGGTGAAAAAAATGTATGTACACATGTGTTTGTGAAAACACAAACAGTAGAATGGAATGAAGAAAACAGTTCAGGACATGAATGCTGGCTGGGATGGTCCAGCCTCACGACTACTCCTGCCAGAACTTCCGATAAGCTTGCCGCTTTCCCATGGCACAGAGACTGGAGAACAAGCACAGCTCACTCTCCCAGGGCCTGGCCAGGACAGCACTTTCCCAGGGGCTCTTAAAGATGTCAGTGCCCCAGACCACAGGAGCAGTCTAGACAACACAAGGCCCACATTCCCAAGAGGTGGGGTGGATGGCTTTTGGCTATTTGATGGGTTACAGATGTTTGTCAATAGATGTTTGGGCTGGTGACAAGTTGTTATTGGTCATGGTCAAGAAAGAAAGCTAAACAAAGGAGATTAGATTCAGGATCTCTTTCTAAAGGGAAAAGGGAATGTAGTATAGGAATGATGGGATAAAAGTATGCATTGTTGAGTCTACTTTTGAACACCACTAGTCTCAGATATTTTACATTGGTATGGATTTTTGTATATTGATACACATTTAAAGTCATTTTTATATATGTATGTTTTATATATGTATATATGTTTATACTCTTATCTACTAAGGTAATATTATATCCTCTTGGGATCTTTGATGAAGTTGAAGTCTAGATAGTCATAGTTTTCCATAGTTATGGTAGAAGGTAAATTAGGTAGAGAGGTTTGGACTCATCAAGATAGAATAAATAATGGAGTATTTTCTCCAAATATGCCAAATACAAATGAATTGGCCATTGTAAATGTAATTCTTATCTGATAATTGTTCTTATTGTTTATAGTTTTATTATGTTAGAGTTAAAACCTTTCCTTTTATTTAGACAAAAAAGGGGGAAATGTTGTGGAAAAATTTTTTGTACACTGTGAAGATCTATCACTCAAATTGGCTTAAAAATAAGCAGAACAGCCAATTGCTAGGCACAACTTTCAGGGCAGAGAGGACCCTGGAAGGGTAGAGAAATGGAGAGTCTCCAGCCAGAGATGGAGGAAGCAGGAAAGCAGCATGGGTAGCACAGAGTAAAGGTAATAAAGCCACGAGGCAGAACATAAATTAATAGAAATGGGTTAATTTAAGTTATAAGAGCTAGTAAGAAATAAGTCTAAGCCAAGCTTTCATAATTAGTAAAAAGTCTCCAAGTCATGATTTGGGAGCTGGCAAGAGGGACAGAAAATCTGCCTACATGCAAAAGTGGAAATAGAATCAGTGTAGCAAACCCAAGCAGATACAAACGGAAATGAAAAATTTAGAAACTCTGGCTTTTCAGAGATGAGCCTCACCAACACAACACAAGAGATGGAGAGAGACTCTCAGGTGTGGAAACAAGACAGAAGAAACAGGTATCTCAGTCAAAGGAAATGTTGAATCTAAACAAAAACTATGAAAATACCAAATCTAAGAATAATAGGAATAACAGAAGAAGAGGAAATTCAGGCACATAAAATATTTTCAATCTATTATAGGAGAAAATTTCCCTAACTTGAAGAAGGAGGTGCCTATTAAGGCACAACAAGCATACAGAATACCCAGGAGACTGCACTAGGAAAGAAATTCACCACAGCACACACCAGAACAACAAACATACAGAACAAAGAAAGAATATTAAAATATTCTGCAAGGGGAAAAGACCAAGTAGCAATATTAAGGTGGACTAACTAGAATAACATCTGACTTTTAAATGGAGACTCTAAAAGCCAGAAGGGCCCAGACAGATGTTCTACAGACTGAAAGAGACCACAGGCGCCAGCCTTGGTAGTTACTACACCCAGCAAAATGGTCAAGCACAATAGATGGAGAAGAAAGACTTTCAGTAATCAAACAAAATTTAATCAGTATGTAGCTATAAATACAGTTCTACAGAAAGAACTAGAAGGAAAATATCTACCTGAAGATGCTAACCACACCCAAGAAAACACAGACCAGCAAATCTAAAGAAGGGGGCAAACCCAACACAACTATCAGAATCACCAATCACTGCTCATTCACATTGCTCATTGATAATGATCTCAATCCTCCACCCCCAAAAGACACAAACTAACAATTTGGATTCAAGAAAAGAATCCATTTTTCTGCTGCATCCGAAAGAAACACCTGAGCATCAAGGATAGACATTACCTCAATAAAATGAATAGAGAAAGATAGTCCAAGCAAATGGACCCAAGAAATAAGTCAGTATAGTCATTTTAGTATCTGACAAGATAAACTTCAAGCCAAAGCTAATCATGAGATGGGGAAGAACACGACATACTCACCAAAGGCAACACTACCAGGAGGACACTGCAATTCTTAACATCTATGCACCAAAGACAAGGCCACCCAAGTTTATAAAAGAAAGATAACTACAGCTTAGATCACTTATTGACCCCCACACACTGATAGCGGGTGATTTCCCACCTTCCCCTCTTGACTGATTTGCGGCACTTTTCTCCTTAGAGGTGCAGGAGTACTGCAGTGAGATTTACAATCATCTGTGGAATGAACAGAAGTTCAGCAACAGAGCCAGATCGTGGATAGCAGCCGGATTGGGAGCAAAGGCACAGTCCTCCACGGAGAGGAAGCCTCAGGTATCAGCCTGGTTCAGGTTCCTTCATGGGAAAGGGGGTTCTCATCCTTAGCCCAGAACTCAGCTTTCTTAACCTCGTGGCGCTAGTCTGGCTTGCCCTTGTGGCCTTTGTCCTGGGAATTTAATCATTTACATAATACATTAGCACAGGACTCCAGGCGGGTCTGGGCACCCGGAACCCAGCCCAGCCGAGCCAGCGCCCTAGCGGCCGCCTCCCATGGCAGCTCCCCCACCACCTTCGACTGCAGCAAGACCAAAAACAAGGACCTCAGTCCGCGCCCCAGCGTTCAGCTTTCCTTAGTCTCCCTAGCGGTGCAGCGCTTTACCAAAACCCACAAACTTTGGATGAGTGACACGAAGCTGGGACCCTAGCATCAAGGAAACTTGACAGGAGTCCTGTTTTGCAGCTAGAGGTCGTTGGGGTTTCTTGACCGTTGGAAGGCGCGCGCTCAACGGGCGCTGGAGCCTTGGAGCGCCCAGAGCTGTAGGATTCCGATCGTTCGCGCTGGGGGGCTGGATGCCCAGCGAGCAATTCCACTTCTCCACGTGCTACGTGAGTGCACCTGGACTCTGTGTCCAAAACGACAGAGATCAATTCTGGTAGAACCGGCAGGCATTCGCGGCTCGGGCACTCTGGAGATTACTAATTCTTTAGTAAACTGAGGTGGCCGCGGTAACAACACTCTTTAGAGCTGGTCTCACCCAGAAATCGTACCAAGGTCACTTCTCATAGCAAAAGTTCCAAAAAGGCGCTCCATTCGCGACAAGTGCAGGACCATTCGCGCGACCACGCCTCTGGCCTGTCTTCTACGTGGGCTGTTTAAAGGTCTCAAGTGAGGCAGAGTCCTCGAGCAAAAGAGCCAGGGTGCAGAACGCCCGCACCCAATCCTTGTTCTCTGGCCTGTGACCGCATTCGGCCCGCCCTCCGCACCTCTATAAGAGGCACGCCGAAGAGCGCACTCGGAGCACCGCCCCCAGGCGCGCTACTTCTCCCGCTCCTCTAGCGCCGCACCACTGTCCCCACAGCTATAGGACACTGGTTCCTCCCCTTCGCGGCCCCCAGCACGGGGTGACTTGGCGTCTCCTCTGCTTTCTTGCTCTCCCGGACTTAGGCAGTCTTCCACGGTGCTGATTCGCAGGTGAGCAGCGCTGCAGCGCCGCTGCTCGGCAAGCTCACCTTGCACAGCCCAGTGCCGGCGCAAAACTCTGGTACCCTGAATGATGAAGAACCCGATGCTGGAAGCAGCGTCTCTCCTCCTGGAGAAGTTGCTCCTCATCTCCAACTTCAAACTCTTCAGCGTGTGTGCTCCAGGAGGAGGGACAGGGAGGAACCGTCCCTATGAAATCAGCTCTTTTCTCCGGGGCGATGTGCTGGAGGTGTCACGGACTCATTTTACCCACTACGGGATCTACCTGGGGAACAACCGTGTAGCCCATCTAATGCCTGACATCCTGTTGGCGCTGACCAATGACAAGGGACGTACTCAGAAGGTGGTCTCCAATAAGCGTCTCATCCCCGGAGTGATTTGCAAGGTGGCCAGCATCCGTGTGGACACAGTAGAGGACTTTGCCTACGGAGCAGACATCCTCGTCAATCACCTAGACGAGACTCTCAAGAAGAAATCATTGCACAACGAGGAGGTGGCATGCAGGGCTGAGCAGCAATTGGGGCTGATTCACTACAGCCTACTGTGGAACAACTGCGAACACTTTGTGACCTACTGCAGATATGGTGCTCGGATCAGTCCGCAGGCTGAGAAGGTAGGAGAGACTTATAGGAGCTGGGGTCGGGATCCGGGATCTTTTTGAACATCTCCCTAACCACACCATTTTTAGGTGTTGTAGATTAAGAAAGGAAAGATCCGGTGTTTCTAGGAAGATCTGGTAAACAAATGACAGTATGCCTGACAACTAACCATTCAGACGCTGGAGACAACAAGGGCACCATTATTCAAACCACAACAGTTAGGGTTGTTTGTAAGACCATGGGTTGGGGATTATCGACTGGAGTATGGGCAACTAAAAAGGGGAAAATGAGCCCCCTCCCCTTGAGTGTCCGCTCCTCAGGAAGGACAGGCCCTCCCAAGACCCTCTGAGACTTGCCTCTGTTACAGCAGGAAGGGTGTCCTGGCTCAAGGGAAGGAGCTGTGTTCAGATGAGCACAGCTGCCCTGAGTTCCTGGCTACTGTCAGCAGGAGGCGGCCATTAGAACACTTCCCATCTCCACTCCCCGCTCCAGCATTAATTCCACACAGACTCAGAAATCAGAGAACCGAGGAATTTTTGTACTGATAACAAGGATAAGTCTATTGTGAAATTTAAGTCCCTCTCTTTCTAGCTTTTACTATTTATTACACCTTTTCTACTGTGTATCTTTTGTCTGATTTATTGCCAGAATGGGTTCAAATGCCTTTTTTCAAATGTCTCTGTGTTTACAAGAGCGAACCTAACACCTTCTACAAATCTACTACTCCCCTTCCCCTCTCTTTTGTGAGACAAGGTCTCATGTAGCTAAGGCTGACCTCAGGCTCCTAATCTAGCTGAGGATGACTCTGAACTTCTGATCTCCCGATCCTCCTATTTCTACCTCCCACAGGCACGCTTCACCACACCCAGTTCTGAGGAGCAAACCTAGGGTCAGCTGAATTCTAGGCAATCACCCAACTGAGTTATATTTCCAATCTTAGAAATTTTGCCTATCTGGGGATGCCTCCTGGGCTGATGGTCAAATGAATAGAGAGTAGGGGGACAGAGAGTAGTGAGGGAGAGAAGAAAAGGAAGGAAAAGGGAGGGAGGGGAGGAGAGAAAGGCGTGTGTGTGTGCCCATGTGCATGCATGAATGTATGTACATCTACACATAGAAAAGAGAGAAGCAGGGTCTGTGTCCTAGAGGGGTGTCTAATTCTAAGAAGGCAATTATGACCTTGAACTTCTGATATTAGTACCTCCACCACCCAAGTGCCAGGATTATTGGCATGTATCACCACACTTCATTTGTGTGATGTTGGGAATTAACCCCAGAGCTTCATTCATTGCAAGTGTTCTACTAACTGAGTTACATTCTCAAGTCTTTATTCAGTTTGATTTTGACCACTTTATATCTTGTTAGTGTAGCCGAAGAGATACATTAGGTGTTTGTCCTATAAACAATGTATGAATGGCTAATAGGATATTGGATATTTTAAATACTATGCATAACTTTGACTAGGATGGCCTTATATTCACATTGTGGATTAAAACACAGTCAAGCTTGGCTTAATTTTACGTGAATCACTAGGTTATGTACTTATACATAGAATATAATTACACCAGTAATGGAGCCCTACTGCCATATCTGTGGCTGGTCCTTGACTGTATTAAACTAATAATTTAGAAATTATGTCAAACACAGTACTGCACATCTTTGATCTCAGCTCTCCAGAGGCTGAGACAGGAGGATCCCTGAAGTTCAAGGTCAGCCTCTTCTATATAGTAAGTTCCAGGCAACCAGGGATAGCACAGTGGAACTCTCTCTCTCAAAGCAAGGGAAAAGAGAACATGAAAACCAGGGCTGCATAGATGATTCAGCAGTTTAAGATTTCATACTGCTCCTGCAGTATTTTTACTCTCAGCACCCACAAGTGCCTGTAACTCTAGCTCTGGGTAGGGCTGTATTTTTGATACCTCTGGACACCATGGGCACCTGCACTCATGTGCACACACCCATACACAGATACACACATACACATAATTAAAAATAATAAAAAGCATTAAAAAGTAAAGATTTTAGAAACGTTCCCAGCTTCAGGATATTTCACTAAGCCCTGGAGTTCTGGGTCAACTTGAGCAATACAGCAAGATCTCATATATAATGCCATATTCTAGAAAAGGATCCTGAGTCTAGTCAGAATAGCAAAAATCACATAAAATTTTTTTATTAAATTTTAAATTCTAGCATTAACTTCTAGCAATGACAATGGTACAGAAATAGCTGTCAAGAAATACAGCAGTAGTAATAATTGTGATAACTTACATAGAAGAACACTAACTGTTCTTTTATATGAAAGATTTTATTTTATTTATCTTCAAGGCTACCCTGGTATTCCCATGAAGAAGGAAGTCCAGACTGGCTAAATGTCTTTTTTTTTTTTTTTTTGAGACACGGTTTTCTCTGTGTCCTTGTAGACCAGGCTGGTCTCAAACTTACAGAGATCTTAAATGCCTTATTTGATGTCACACAACAAATAAGGCAGAGCAAGAACACTATTTCCAAGTACTTTTTACATGAGAAGTGATACAGTAGAATGCACCCACTGAGGGTGGGTACCATAGTTAATGTCTCTATTTCAGGAGCCAGTTATGTGTCACAGAACTGATGATGAATTTTGCAATGGCAACCCAGTAAGACCGACTCTATGCCTTTAGACTTTAAGAGATGAAACTGGGTCATCAAATTTTAGGCTAATGAAGCAGAAGAACTGCCTATTTTTTTTTAAACTCAAGGTTAGCAACTTCCTTCTTAGGTTAGTTTTAGAATATGCTAATTAGTATTAATTAATTTACTGCTGCCTTTACCCTTTAATGCTGGGTAACTTTTATGTGGTGCATTTTATAGGGTTCTGTAACACTATAAAATGTTTACATATTCCATTATTTCATAAGTCACTGGGAACATAAAGTGTTCCTGGTAGAGACAAAACAACCAGAAAGACTACATAGTAGTATAACAGCTTTCTTTTCGTCATGGTTCCTAATATTCTTAGCTTTTGTTTTCCAGTTTTATGAGACTGTGAAGATCATCATCCGTGATCAGAGAAGCTGTCTTGCTTCAGCTGTCGTGGGACTGGTGTCCATTGTCTACACGGGCCTGGCATCGTATGTGGCCCTTCCTGCACTCTGTATTCCTTTCTGCTTGTGGATGATGTCTGGCTAGCTTCCAGTCGTCACCTGAATGTGTATGTATTTTGTGTGGGACTATGTTTATATTTATAGAATACAAAACATTATAAGCTTGTTGAGAAAATGTGGCTTTCAACACTGTGTTCTAGATTTTAAACAAGTGATTAAGAACCCTCTGAAGTGCTTACCATGTAAGCCACAACAGAGCCTTTCTGCGTCCTCTGGGACAGGCCTGCTGTGGAGCAGGACAGCCTGTCTGGACTCAGCGGCCCCAGAAAAGCAGCCCCTGAGGTGACAGCCACAGGAGATTGCTTGGGTCACTCCTTTCCTCCTGTAATCATTCTGCTGCTAGGCTTACCAACTGATCACTAACTTCACTGTAAATGTATTCTGCTCACTGAATGACTGACACCAAAGGCAACATTTTCCCTCATTTTGATGAACATATTTGATAATTAGCCATAAAGAAACAAAATCTCACATTCTGTTTTGCCTTTCTTCATGTAATAATACAAGTTCAAGTCAGTCAAGAACATTATTTTCATGTCCTGATATCAGTGTTACGGAGCGTAAGGAAATTAACTGGCCAGAAAGTATAGAGATGTTTTCTCCTGCACAAACAGTGATAGTAGCTATTTATATTCACTTTTCAATAGTCTGGTACTGTTTCCCCTCTTTCTTTTCATGTGCCTGTATGGCTACTTTAAAAAAGGTAAGCAGATAGAGGATTGAAGTAATCCCAGTATTTGATGTACATGCACTCATTACATAAATATGCCAGTATCTGCACACATAGATGGGTAATCTGTATTTCTGGTTACTTTATTATACTAGTGTATAATATCTACAAAGGTGAACATAACAGGTAAACATAAAATAAAGTCTGATTTTCTTTTCTATGACCTTAAATCTGTATATATGTCATTGGTTAGTTATTTTTTTAAAGCTAAATTTATTAATGTCCTTAAAAAAAACTCAGAATTGTTTCTGTTAAGTATTTTCTGAACCAACAAACCTCTCTGCAATAAGTCAATCAGACCACATTAGACCGAATTAGAAGCCGACCAGGTTTAATGGACACCAGCGCTCTGGGCAGCCTCGGGGAAAACACAGAGAGAGGGAAAGGAGAAGTGGAACAGCCACCGGAGAGGGAAAAGGGGCTACCACAAGCTTGTTAGTCCTCTGGGTGGGGGCAGTTTAAATAGCCTGTGGGAGTGGTCTTGATCTTCCCTGGGGAGGGGGTCACCATTTGGCAGGCTTTCTTGGAGGTGGAGTTTGGACTGAGGCCACTCCCACAGGAGGCGGAGTTTGGACTGAGGCCACTCCCAC